AGGAGGGGAGGGGAAAGGAGTAGGGGAGCAGGAGGAGGTGGAGAAAGGAGTGGGGGAGCAGGAGGGGTAAGGAGAGGGGGAGCACACGGAGGAGGGCGGGCAGGCGGAACAACGTCTCTGGGGAGAGCGCACAGGTTCGAAGTGAGGGTGGACGCGGTGAAGCGGAGGCTGTGCTAAGGAGGATGAGCAGAGACAGGGTCGGGGGTCCGAGAAGGAGCGGCGGGGGCGGGCGGCGCTCAGGTCCGCAGGACAGGGAAGGAGCTGGAGGAGCGGAGCAGAGGGCACCCAGGGACCTGGTAGATCGCAAACGGTGAAGAGGAAGGGCGCGGGGGCAGAGGACAGCGGACCCGAGGACAGGCTGGAAGAGGGCGGAGACTGGAGATGCACCAGGGCGCGAGTTTCTCGAGGTCGCTGGCTGGGGACAGTTTGGGTGGGCGTCTCAGTCCTCACCGTGGAGTCACTAAAAGATGTGCCTGGCAGAAAGGGCAGACCGTGCACCCGGTTGGACATCGTCGCGGGCAGCCACCGGCGTCAGATTTGGCCGCGTCCTCTCGCGTTGCCTGGCGACACGCCGTGCTGGGCGGGGCTCCGTGGTCGTGACTTCGTTGCTTGGCGACACGCCGCGGTGGGCGGGGCTCCGTGCTCGTGACGGCGCCTGGCCGGTCTGCGCGTGCGCTGCGTAGAACCCCGCCTTCTCGCGGTACGGAAGCCGCGGAGGGGGCGGGCCTAGCGGATGCTACAGACCTGGCGCGCAGGTCAGTCTCCGCGGGGCATCTCCAGGCTCGCGAGAGAGGCGGTGGGAGGTGGCGGGCCGGGCCAGCGGGGTACCGTGTGGCCTTAGCTCGCGCAGGAGGTCGCAGTCGGAGCAAGTAGAGGAAGGGCCGCTCCTTCCCCGCCTCCGCCCTCGTCCTCGCCGCCCTCACGCCAGAAGCTCAGGTCCTCCTTCCTCCCGGCTCCGAAAGGGCCGCTGTGCAGGTTCACCGGAAGCGTACAGGGTGGGTGAGGGTGAAGTCGTTGATGCCCCAGACGCAGGCTTTGCGGGGGGCGGGGGTCCGCGACGTGGCGGAAGCGTCAGGTCCTCGCGGCGTGCCTGCCACCGCGCCCCGCCGCGCCGTCGCGCTGTCCCACCCGACCCTGCGCTCAGCGCCCCGCGCCAGCTGCCAGCCGGCGCACCCTTGCTGCAGGGCTCAGTGCCCAGCTGGGCCTTTGTGGGCTCAAGAGCGAGGGTGCTCGTCGCAGTCTGGCGTATACCCGCAACTGCAGCGACTAGGTCCAAATCAAGGGGAAAATGCAGCTCCTTCGGAGGGAAGGACCTAAGTCTTGAGAAAGAAGCAAGATCAGTGAGATGAAAGCGTTGGCACCATAGACGTTTTCGTGCTTGGTGCTTTGTATGGGGTGGTTGTCCCATAAAAGAAATGTAACCTTCCCTGTTCCTGAAACATTGCCCGGGAAAGCGCTGGCCCAACCCCTGGGCGCGCCAAACGGGCCCCTAAGACGGTGTGGTGGTGCACGTCTGTAATCCCAGCGCTGGAGGATCACTACGAGTCCGAGCTGCGTAGTGAGACCTTGTACAAGATACGTAATAAAAAGTAAAGACAACACCTGTCCCTATTTGAGAGGTGACTTCTGGTCAGATACCTTGCCTTCCCAGAAATGGATGCTAGTTAAATGGTTAATAGAGTGCCTTTACTCACCTTGGTACATCAGAACTGCATGGGCGCAGAAAAGTTTTGGTCGCCCCCCTCCCGAAAGCCACCAATGCTGCTACTGTGGTTTGCATGGGATTCGTTTACTATGAAACTCACTGAAATTTGACTGCTATTGTGGCGGTGGTGGGCAGAGGGACTTTAAGAAGCGCCTGGGTCGTCACTGCCCTTGGGAGTGGATTAATGCCTTTCTCTTATGAATGTCTTCTTGCTATCATAAAACGGAATGATTGTCACAGGGCAGTGACAGTGGCCCGCCTGTTTTCTGTCTTCCACTGGCCCTTTGGTTTTCTGAGTGTGAGAAGCAGCATGTAGCCCTCACCGGAGGCCAAGAAGACGCCATTGCCATGCTGTGGGACTTCCCAGCCTCCGGGAGTATGAATCACAAACCGCTAGTCTTTACAAATCACCTCGTCTCAGGTGTTCTGTCGTGGCAACAGGACATAGCTGTGATAGTTATGTCAGTGCTAAAGAACACAAAGGTCTGTGGAAAAGGAAACAGAAATGTCGGGGCTTCAGAGTACTACCTGGACCCTGAGAAGATTTGGTATGATTAAGGGTTTATGTGTCATTTCTTCCAAACACACCACTAAGCATGTTGTATTTCGTCTATACCAACCATTTCCCACTTTGTGGAACAGGAGGCCGGAACCTGACCATGCCTGACTGCTAAAGTAGGAGGTGCTATGGTTGAAAAGACCGTTGCATAAAGCTTGGACTCAGAACAGAGACATTTCATACTTATGGCAGGCGATTCAAAGCTTGGAGCCTGGAAGAAAATGAGAACGATCCTGATGCCAGCTTCCAGCTGGGAAAGGTACTTCCCAGAGAATCCAGGTGGAAGGCACCCTGCGGGGACGGGCCTGGGCAGTCACCTCAAACATCTCTTCATTTTGCCCAGAACTTGTCTTCAGCCCTATGATATTCTTGCCCTTCGCTATCTAGATTCTCAGAAGTCATATAGTGGTGTCTTTGTGTCCTGGATTATTCTGCAGTGATTTTGGTGGTGTTATTCCATCGGCAGGATAAAAATGGTACGTTATGATTTAGGGGGGTATTGGGGGACGTTTGCTAAATACCTCCAGGCTGGCGAGTGCTGCCAGTATGGAGAGAGTGGCTGTGAGAAGATGGCCAGAGGGATGCTCCTCTGCCACAGTATTCTCTAATCTGCGTTTCCTACACCCACTGGTTTCTAGAATTTCTTACCTTAAAAGGCGGCCTAGTCAGCCATAAGCTTTCCAAGTATGGAAAGGGAAAGAGAACTGGCCAGTAATTGGTAAGCTGATTCTGGAGCAGACTTGGGTCCACAGGAAATGAGTTGACACAAAAATCGCATAACTTGGGGTTCAGACTGCTTCAGTGTTTCTGTGATCAGTTGCCTTGGGTTTGAGAAAACCTATTTTCCTGCAGGCTTCTAGTTAAGTTAAACCCATTCCATGGCTTTAGCTGATTCAGTTGGAATTTCCTTCCCTCTCTGAAGTTTACCAAGCACCCCATGCAGGATGTAAGCTTCGAGAGGACAATGTCTTTGCTCTTCGTAACATTTTCCCAGCTCCCATCTGTGGTGCCTCATAGATACTCATTAAACTGTTATAAAATGAATGACCAACTAATAATAAATGAATGAGGCCTTTTTAAAAACTGCCAGTGGATCCTCATTAGCTCTTCTTAAAGCCAAATTAATAGGTTGTGACTAGGACCAAATTTTTTAAAGGAAGGAACAGGATAGGAATTCTCAAGATGCAGCCCATGTTGCATGGATAAGAAGAATTCGGTGAAAAAGTGTTGAGATGCAAGCACACACACACACAGTCACACCGTGGCTATTGTGGTCACAGTCCAAAAGCTTGGAGATAGACTCTGGGGCGCTCATCTTACTGTTGAGAAATCCCCAGGCCAAAGAGCTTAGAGAACCGCTGGTTAATCAGTGGTTTGCAGTTGAGTGTTTTCTTACACACCCAGTCTTCCCCCAGCTGGGAAGGACATTCTTTGCGTGGTACAGGGGAATCGGTGATCTTGATCCAGCTCACAAAACCTCTCCATCACGGAGAAGTGTGCAGATCCACATGTGGCCACTGTATTGAATACAGTTTTGAATTCCTGATACAGGCAGATAAATGGCATATTTTTTTTAAATAATACAAAATAGTGATAGAAAAAAGCATTAGAAAACAATACAAACTAAATTTCACTAAATTTTCACTAAACAAAGTAGTAGGATTTCAACAGTGGGTGCTATACTGTATGATGTTATCTTCAAATTAGTTTTTCAGATTACCAGCCATAAATGTGCAAGGTTGGTGTAAAGAAGAAACAAAACAACAAAAAAGTTGTAAGAAATTTTTAAAAAGACAAAAAATTTAAGCTTTACCTGAAGAAATGGACAGTACAATTATCCAGACTATCCTTAATATCTACCTAAATATATTTTTCCTTTCTTTCATTTTTTTTAATTACTTAGTACAGGGGTTCACCACGCAGATCGCGCCCATACTGATCTCTGTTTTGAGCCTCACAAGCACTGGAATTACAGGCACACACCACCACAGCCTGCCTCCGTTGCCCTGTCAGCACGCCCTGGAGGCAGGGCCAGCACAGCACACTGGGGCTTGAACCCTGCTCCCTGCACCTGGCGAAGCAGGCGCTTTAGTGGGCTGAGCTATCTGGCCAGCCCTGCCTTCTTCCATTCGTCCTTTGCCTCATCCATTTTTCCTCCCATTGAACTAATTCTTTCCTTTCACAGCATGTGTTGTAACTTTCAGATTGTATTTACTTTTTCAGGTTCTCACCCTAGAGATAATATGATGTTTGCACACGTGGATCTGATTTATTTCACTCAACCCCTGTAGTCTTTAGCTACATTCATGATAAATGGTATCTCTAACACAACAGAGAAATGACTGGTAATCTCTTTTCCCGCCAAGTATCTGAACCTTGTCCTTTTCTCTTAGATGTACACAGTACGACATGGGACATGAACCACGGGTTGGATTCTTGGAGCCCTGCACTTGCTGTGACTTAGAAATATTTGGCTGAACTTGAAGA